CATCCCAGATGGATTTTAACTCTTTATAGGAATACACTAAAGTCAGTTCAAATGTTTGTAGACTCTTGAAGTTATGGATAACATCCTCTCTATGAGCCTGACATAGTCTACAGGTAAGACACCTACAGTATTTTCACACTCGTAACCTTTCCAGTATTGAGCTATGTTAGCAGGTAGTGATTAAACACTGCATCACAGCGTTTTTTCAAGAAATAAAACACTTAGAAAGTAGTTTATCAGAAATGACTGGAATAGAAATAATACATTTTTTCTGTGTAATGTAGTATGTTGCTATTAATGTAAGTGTTGTATGTTCTAGATTAGCATATAGCTCCCTAGCTACTGTTTCCAAGCTTTCCCAACACTGCTGATAGGCTGCAGGAACAAGGACTATGACACTGACACCACACAATAAAAACAGCACTACTGCAATTATTTAAAGAGTACTGTGGCACAGTGGACACAATTCATGTCTGTGTGTGGGGGAATGGGGTTACTGCAGGACACCAGCCCATGTGTCTCACCGTTATCAGAAGCCATGAAGGTAACATTGTAGAGGTTGTTCTTAATGTAGGGAGACTCTCGGTCAAGGATGGCAATGGTGGAAATCCGACCATTAACTGGGTCAATCTCTAGCCAATTGGCAGGGTCGTACATCTTGGAGTACCTGTATTTTGTGAGAGTGAAAGACAGCATGAGAGACCACCACAAAGAGGCTTCTTTATCTGCCTCCCTGGCTACAGGCCAAGCTGCTACTGGGGAGCTGATATATGGAGGCTGCAGCACTCTCAGCAAGCAACTGCATTTCATTCATTTATTCTCACTGGAAATGACTGTGTCTTACACACTCAAAATTTATATTAAAAATTATTACTAATCAGTGGATTTTTTTTTCTTTGATTTGGAAACAATCTATAAAGAGAATAAAGCCTAACAAATCCCTGTGAGGAACAGTGATCTATCAAATGTCATAACAGATGAGAAATTATGTGAATTAAACAGGAAAATAGCACAGCTTTCAACAAAGATGGGTACAATTGCCATAAAGCCACTATGACTCACCAATGAGTAGGAAATACTGTCCATTTTATATGTTTTAATTGGTGAGCTAAAGAGTATAAAGACACAGTTGTGAATAACTGCAGGAGCAGCAACTACAGAATACAAAGCAACAAAAAGAAAAATCAGAAACCAAAATGGTCTCTCCAGACCACTCAATAGGGCACAATACACTCACTCTCACTTTCTGAGTGAGCGTGTGTGTCTGTGTAATTCATGTTTTTGTGAATAGTGTGCGTCTATCATTGGCTGTTGCTAGGCTACAGAGAATTCAGTATTACATTTAGAGACAAATAGTGGGATGTAAAAGAAAGATAGATGGGGGACAAAAAGCAACAGTCCTGCAGATTTGTTGAGCTGTTAGCCCAGGACTGCAGGAAACATCCATCTCCTCCAGACAAGAAGTTTGTAGAAAAAAAATCCAACCAGCTGAAAATAGGGCTGCAACAGAGAACAGGACTGTACATATGTTGTCCTATGGCCCAAATGAGATTGTGGTGCTGATGAGTTATTAATGAGAAACTGCACCTGAAGAAGAAGTTCAGACTTTCACCAGTTTAGGTACAACCACAGTCTGCATCGTATTTATGAACTAAAAGTGAGACGAAAGTTTGATCATCATCACACCTGAAACCAAAGAGAGCAGGTCAGGGCTTTCTCTATGAACGTGTGTTGTGAAACTGCTGAAGCCTTCATCCTGACATTTTTAGTGAGACAAAAACATAAATTGGCTGATCGGAACAGCTAGAACTATTCTTGCATTTCAACAAGGCTGGACAGCATGTCAAACTGAAAATGAAGCCACAGGAGAGACCAGTATCTGTCATCTCTGCTTACTAAGAAGGCAAAGATTCACCCTATTGCCCAAACAAATGTGTGGTGCTGATGACTCACTAAAGTAAAATGTCAACAAAACCATGCTAGGTCTTTTCTGGCATAGCCCACACCCCAAAGGACATAAACCTTCCACTTTAGTATTCGTCCTTTTTCTGTACCCTCTTATCCTTTGCAGGGTCGGACAGAGGTGGAGCCTACCACAGCTCACACAGTATTTGCAGGACACTACGGCAGGACATTCACCCTAAACATACAGACAAGGAAACCAATAAGTCTTTCTGGTCAAACAGAGTTCTTCTTTCTTCATTCAACTGATCCTGCACTGCTGACTCAAGTCAAAAAGCAGGACACACAAGGAGTAAAGAGTGCTAGAGTATATACAGTACATTAAATTCATACTAATTAATTACTTCCAACAAATGCAAGGGTCATTTCAAAGATGAAAAGATGAAGAGCCATACAGATGAAAAAAAGGTTTGTCTTTTCAAAATACAGTGAAAGTCACATCCATCTCCTCCTCAACAGCTCATAGTCTGCACACACTTTCCCACTGAATTGAGGTGTTTCCAGTCGTTTTACTAGTGCCATATACACTGTGGCGTCACAGCTTACCGGACAGTTTGTCTCATGAAGCGGTCAGGGTCCTGGGCTGTGAAGGTGGTGAGTGGAGAGCCAGCAGGCAGACCCTCCTCCAGTTTGATGGACTTGTGGTTGGGGCTGAACTCTGGACTCTCATTGATGTCCAGAATTCGTACAGAAACGGTTGCTGTGGACTGACGTGGCTGGTGGATGCCTCGGGCCAGTGGGACTTCATTTTCTGCCTCCACTGTCAGCATGAAGGAACGGGTCAGCTCAAAATCTATGGGCTGGATGGAAGAAGGGAAGGAGTGGATGACAGTGACATGGTACACTGGATGTCCACAATATTTAATATGGAAAACTGTAAGTGCAATTCACACTGCCAGTATTTTCAGTTGTGTTTGTCTGTATGTTATGAACTTATTAACTATCAGATTATTATTAACTATCCATCAGATTGCTCAGCATCCCCAGATGCATTCTGGTGTTAAAGCAATGACTCTGGTACAAAAGTGTTCAAAGGTTTTAGGCACTTTATCCATCACACAGTACCGTCAGGAAGGTATCTGATTGGTCCTAAATTCATTGTGCTGCATGACAATGAGCCCAGCCTGTGGTGATCTGCACTGGTCCCTCTTGGTTGTTATACTGTCATAAGTTAAATACCACTTCTTGCCATTCATAGCTGGTTGTGTGTCTTTATTTTACTACATTTACACACTCTCTTGGCTCCTGCCATGCTAAAAATCTGTTGATGGCCTCAAAATTCGCATTTAGTACCTTTTACACAACACCTATCACCACCCCTGAGCACTACATACTGAATACGCTTGTTCAACTTTAGATCATCCTACAGTCCAAAACCAGCTGTGAGAGAGCTGTAATATTTTTTTCCAATTTTAAGCTAGGCTTTTTGCATTCTTGGGTCTGCACAGTGCACTTATCTTTTCATTTGTCTTTGGGTACTCAGAAAGCACCGATTCATCACTTTACAGGTTGACAGGTGTCTGTATGAAAATGGAAATAAATATGTCTAAAAAGCAAATGTATTTTTGATGTTTGTTTTGTCATATTATGTCATGTAGTCGCAGGTCTTTGGCTTTAGTGACAAACATGGCGGATGCACTGTCATTCTCTTAACATTTGTTACAGGTCTCCCAATTTTCTGTCTGCCCCACCATGACCCACTGAAAAATAAGCCAAAATGCCCGAAAATGGCAAAAAAAAAACTAACAAAAATTTAACAGGTAGTTAGCATGCTTCACAATTCAGCTCTCTTAACTTAGTCACCAAGACAAACCTGAACCAAATAAATCAATAAATCATTAAAACCATACATCCTGGGAAAGCTCACTATGTTTCTCCCTGAACTCTTATGACAGAATGCTCCTTTACATGTAACATCCTTCATGGTTTTATTATAACACTATGTCATTACTTTTGTTAGGTATTTTTAGTCAGATAGACATTGGTTAGACACTTCATGTATTAGAAATGTTTAGTGTAGACAGGATGTCTAGCTCAGGCTGTTAAATGCTTAGTCATTCCCATGGGGTACTCCAGGTTGTTTATGTTCAAGGATAACTAGATAGAAAGTTGATTACTGTTAGGAGACAG